TCAGATATGGATGCCTGTATCAAATGTCCAGAAGACCAATATCCAAACAAAAGCCAAACTAAATGCATTGTTAAAGTTCTAAGTTTCCTCTCTTACCAAGAAGATTTAGGGATCATCTTAGCAATCTTGACTATTGCTTTTTTCTTGATCACCGTTTTAGTTCTTGGAATTTTTATGAAGCACAAAGAGACCCCAATAGTTAAAGCCAACAACCGGACCCTCACCTACATCCTGCTCATCTCCCTCCTCCTTTGCTTCCTCAGCTCCTTACTCTTTATTGGGAAGCCTGGAAATGTGATCTGCCTTCTCAGACAAACAGTGTTTGCTTTCATATTCTCTGTGGCTCTTTCCAGCATTTTGGCAAAAACCATCACCGTGGTTATGGCATTTATGGCAACCAAGCCAGGTTCAAAAATGAGAAAATGGATAGGGAAAAGATTGACAAATTCTATCATCCTTTCCTGCTCCTTTCTTCAAGTTGCCATATGTACTCTTTGGTTAAGTACTTCCCCTCCTTTCCCAGACAAAGACATGCACTCAGCAAAGGCAGAAATCATACTAGAATGTAATGAAGGTTCAGCTACCATGTTTTATTGTGTCTTGGGCTATATGGGTTTCCTGGCCATCGTCAGCCTCATTGTGGCTTTCCTGGCTAGGAAATTACCTGACAGTTTCAATGAAACCAAATTTATCACTTTCAGCATGTTGGTGTTTTGCAGTGTATGGTTATCCTTTGTTCCAACCTACCTGAGCACCAAAGGAAAATACATGGTAGCCGTGGAAATCTTCTCCATCTTGTCTTCCAGTTCTGGGTTACTGTGTTGCATTTTTTCTCCTAAATGTTATGTCATTATTTTGAGACCTGAGCTAAACAACAAGGAGCAATTAATAAGGAAAATAAAATGAAAGCATATATCTATGACTTCATTCTGCTCCAAATCTATCTATCATCTATATCTATCTATAGCTCTATCTATCTATCTACCTATCATCTATCTATCTATGTATCTACCATCTATCTGTGAGGAGAACCTGAGCTTACAGGGTTAAACAGCTCAGAGTGTACGTCCTGCCTACTGTGGGGTGGGGGGAGATTCTGCATCATTTCTGAGAGTCTCAACCCTTTGTTCTCTCTACTTTCGTTTTGAAGAGTGCGGACGTGTTTTTCACGATGCTGTGCGCTGTATTAGACAATGGATAGTTTCTGCTGTAATAAAGCTGCTTTTAGTTATTAGTAAGCTCTGTCTGTCTGTCTGTCTGTCTGTCTATCTATCAGCTATCTATCTCTATCACCTATATTTTTTGGTAAAGGCTATCTTTATTATATCCTCATATTCTGTTTTTCCAGGTTGCACCATTCCCTCTTTATGCTACATCATTGTGTTGGGCCTAGTTGAAGAACTGTGAGACTGAATTTATTATGCCCACTTCATTCTGCTCCTATGTTGATATGGCAGAGATATATTGAGAAATTTTGCATAGGTGCATGTTCAAGTAAACATGTCTCAGAGAATTCTTGCAAGTAGAGCTGAGACACACACATTTCACCCAGTGTGTCTGCCCACCTACATTCTGCTAGACAAGCCCCCTTCTCCCAAGCTGATTGCTACTTGATTTTTTAGCTATATGTGCAGATACTCAGCTCAAGGGCTGACAGGACTTAGTATCGCCTCATGGTGATCTTGGTAGGTCACCCAGATGCAGTGCAATTCAAAGGGCAACAATTAATCTTGCTGAACCCCATCATCTAACCAACAACCAGCAATTTGGCCCACTGATTTCAGGATATACCTCCAATGCCTACATCAAACCTTCTGACATCTGTAATCAATAAAGTTGTGGCCATATTTCATCTTGTGTTGTATGTGCACCTTCTCTGCCACTGGCTCCATTGTGCCTGGGCCCACAACAGCATGGGGTAGCATGGAGGAGATCTTTCCCAAATGGGAGAGGAACATTGTACCTCTTTTCCTTCCCCTACAACTGTTAATGAAGTGAAGATGTTACTATCATAGTGAAACAAGTCTCTCTGGGCAGCCTATCAGTTTCAGAAGAAACCGGCACATGTATTCTATCTTAATATCAGCCATTACTTTTATCTAATTCCCCATGCTGTGTCATTGGAGCTGTAAAATCAATTCCATGCCCTCACCCTGTCCCCAGTTCTAGGTCAGAGGATCTAGGACAGCAATTGCCAACCTCAGGATATGCCAAGGTGGCTGTAAAAAGTCTTGCTTCTAAGGCCACACTCCTCACACGTCCTTCTTTTTTGTTTTTGCCTGGCTTGAATGTGTCTCTGAAGCCTGATAATGCCTCTTGTTTACCTTGATGGAGGGTCAAGAGGGGTGTGTGAATGTATATAAAAAGCAGCCTATTGTACAAAAATAATATTTACATTAATTGCTGTGCTCTCTTTTGCCTCTGACTCCCAAAAGATTGCCCAGATGGGAGTGTGGCCATCTGGCTGAAGAAGGCCCCACACCCCTGCAATAAATGCAGACATGTCTAAAACAGAACACAACTCATATCACTTCTCCACAGAGTTTGAATAAGGACTGTAAACACAAAGTCAGAGAAGGTCCAAACAATTTCAAAAGTGCAATTGTAACAGAAGGACAAATAAAGAACAAGTACATAGTGTTGGATAAATTCATTAAAGTGTGAGGAGAGCATCTGGAACTGAAAGCTACATTTGACCTGAGACTTAGGTTCCCCATACTAATATTTTGTAATGCATATAAATAATACTGCATAAATATTTTAATAATAACAAAAAAATAATAGCAATAACAATAAAAGGGACATTCAGTAATTAGGCGCAGAGTCTTAAAAGAGATGTAACCATCCTTCAAGTTATGTGAAATGTGAATGAACTGTGGGTGAACTAAATTCAAGTTCTGGACACAGGGAGCCTGGTCCTGTCAACTGAGTCCCACCAACTATTGACCATCATGCAAACAGGGCGGAGGGGGGATGTAGACTATTGAGGGAGGGAGTTGTAGCATTTTGTTCATGCATGATGTAACTTCAGAAGCCAGCAGGACACTGGGAAAACAATCTTCTTCCCTATCATTATCAAAATTATTGGTTTGCATTGTCTTATGCAGAAGATATCCAGAGATCAACAATGAACATCTGAAAAGAGATATTAGAGCCTTGTGTTGTTCAGAACTGGATCTAGGCATTGACAGAGCTCTATCGTATTGTTGTTTTAGCGTGTTTCCACCAGCTGACTCCACCATTATTTTTTAAACAAAAATATCTATACTGTGGGTATCTCTGTTCTTCATTCCTTCTCCTGATGCTCTTATTAGACAAATGTTTTGTTCACTCTTCATCAGGTATCTCCATCATCAATTATTTTTTACAACAATTTTGATTTACAGAATTTGAGAATTCTGAAGGTAACTCTTGCATAGTACCACAAAGCTATTGATGTCTGCAGCTGAATAGATAAAAACAAAGATTTTGAAAAGAGAAAAAGAGTAGTAAAAGCTCATACTTCTCATTCATGCTTAGAGTATAAATCAGTGAATGTTCTGATCAGGGAAACTGACAAAAAAGGAGCCATTGTGTCAATGACCAAGTTACTAATGCAGAGATTCCCTAACAACAACAAAATCATCCACAATTCAAGTGACTATGTAGCAAAACAAATAAAAGCCATATATAACGCTGTAGGTGGAAGCATGAAAATCTATATTTGGAGGGCATCCTTTGTCAATGGGATTATACAGGTGGTGGTGTTGCTGCTCATACTGGTGTGTCATACTGTAGGCAATACACATTCTATTAACTGCAGTACACTTGACGATCCCCTCCCTATACCTCATAAATTTCACCAGCCAGGAGACCTTGTCATCGGTGAGATTGTTTCTCAAGTCTACTTTCACTATAATAACCTGTCTTTCGAGGAACAGCCTATACATGTATTGATTGATGAACCTATGTAAGGAAACATTTCTTTCTTCTTCTGTAATAAGTTCATGTGACATTCACCATTATGCAGCTTTGTGATTAAGTAACTATTTTTACTTTGTGGGGAAAAGTGTTTGGACAGTATTTGGACCACAGTATTTGGACTACTGTTTATTTTTGCTTTCTGCATTATGTCCCTGCGTTATGTTCCTTTTAATTAATCACTAAAAGCCTTTCCACCAGACACTTCACAGAAATAAATAGATTGTGTACATTTCTGTAAGATTTCTGCAGAATAACAACATAGTAGAGTGTGCTCTTGTTATATTATGTTACTCCTGCTCTTTCCACATTTTGTTTCTTCTCATCCTTTGCCACTATATATACCCTCTTCCCTGCACTTCCAATCTTCTGACTCTTTCAATATTGGATTTCATATTATATTTTAGAAATGCCGCCATGTTTCATTCCTCCAATTGTTTCCAGCCTATTCCCATTTAACAAAAAGACTTTGTTTCTACAACTTAAAACGCTCTGGAGGGAAAACATGCAATCAAAAGCGACTTCCTAATGGATTTGCAAACATGACCCCATTTGTTATTCATACTTTTAAATATAAAAGTGCATTATTAAAGTGCTACTTTTTAGTTTATCTTGATGATATTGTTTCTGTGCCAAGGAAATTACTCCAATAGCCGCAGGGAGCAGTTTCCAAAGCACTTTTACTCTTCCAAAATATTGCAAACATTTAGTTCTTGCTATTTCAGATACAGTGTCTTACTTTCTTAATTTCACCAAGTTACATTTCTTCAAACTATAATACCTTATGGTTTTAAGCTGATACTTGAAAGCATGTAGATGAGTACAATACATTTGTTATTGTCATAGTTGTTTCATGGTTGTTTTTCTTTTTACTCTAACTCTTATTTTATATTTGGTGTTAGCCACCCTGAGCCCAGCCCAGGGAGGGCAGGCTATAAATAAATAATAATTATTATTATTATTATTATTATTATTATTATTATTATTATTACAGATCTGTGCCTAAGAACTTTCAGCACATCCTGGCCTTAGCATTTGCTGTCAAAGAGATCAATGAGAATCCCAACATTTTATCAAACATTTCCCTGGGATTTCACATCCTCAATAGCTACTACTCTACAAAGATGACCTACAAGGCCACTCTGAGCCTGCTTTCGTCACAACATAGGTTTGCCCCCAACTTCAATTGTCACAAGAAGAGCAATCTGATAGCTCTTATTGGAGGATGCATCTCTGAAATTTCTACCAATGTGGCCATAATTTCAGCCATTCACAAGACTCCACAGGTCAGCTGTGTGCATGGGGCATAAAACTTTCATATTTGTTACACATCATCTTGATTTCAGCCAAACATTCCCTGTGATATTTTGCTTAGCAACCTAATTGAAAGCATACTAGAAGGTAGTACAATCAGGTGAATTCGGTGCTTTTTGGATAACAGTTAACTGAATAACTTCAGAAGAGTACTCCCAGATCAGACAAAAAATTAATATTGGGGCCCCATTGCTCTGTCCCAGCTCCTGCCAACCTAGCAGTTTGATAGCGTGCCAGTGCAAGTAGATAAATAGGTACTGCTGCAGCGAGAAGGTAAATGGCGTTTCTGTCCACTCTGGCACTCATTGCAGTCCTCCGTGCTCCAGTAGCAGTTTAGTCATGCTGGCCACATGACCCGGAAAACTGTTTGTGGACAAACGGCAGCTCCCTCAGCCTGAAAGCGAGATGAGCGCTGCATCCCATAGTTGCCTTTGACTGGACTTAACCACCCAGGGGTCCTTTACCTTTACCTTTTATAGTACCTGCTTTGGCAGCAGTAAATGTGAAAGGGATCTCCAGGTTAAAATTGATTTCAAGCTAAATTTGAGTCGGCAGTGTCACTATAGCCGCAAAAAGTCTCCAGCGGCACTAAAGTACAGTAAACAGAAACATAGTTTCTAATTCATGGAAAGTACCTTGAATTTGTCTCTGTCTCAAGGGGTCTCTGTGGGATTTCAAGGATCTGCCCTGACAAATGCAGGGTGGAGAAAACAGGTGCTGTTTCAGCTGTGATTTTACCCCACTACACACAGTATCTCAGAAATCTTTTCTCTAGGGGTGTGCGGCTTACTGTTTCCAGGTCTTGGTTCTGAACTATAAAATGGATGTAAACAAACTGGAAGCAGTGCAGGAAAGGTTGGCATTGCTCTCAGAAATAAGTACTCCAAGGAAAAAAATTCTATATGAAGTCTGCAGAAAATTAGACTAAGGGAGAACATTATAGCATTCTTCAAATATTCATAGTACCACAAAAGACTGAAATAGAATATTGGGATAAATTTATTAATAGTAAATTTAGTTAATCAATGGAATCAATCAGCAGAGGGAGGCCTTCAGACAGTGGCGATAGTTATTGCATCTCACAGGGTGGCATTAAAGAACCCCACACATTATGACTGTATGATTTGAAAGAAATATTTTTATTTCAGCTCACTTATGGATCATTTTTGACAACACAGGATGACAAAAGACTATTCCCTTTTCTGTACCAGATGGTACCAAATGAAGCTCACCAGCACAAAGGAGTTGTGAAGTTACTTCAGCATTTCAGATGGACATGGATTGGGCTCGTGGCTGTGGATGATGACAAAGGGGACAAGTTTTTACAGAAAATAGTGCCAATGCTTTCTCAGAATGGTATCTGTTATGCCTTCATTGTAAGACTACCAAAATACTCTTATGTAGATGAGTATATTGCTATGCTTATAAAGCAATGGGAAAGCTATGTAACTGTCATCAAAAGAAATGTCAATGTATTGCTCATATATGGAGAATATCCATCCTTTCGAGTTTTGAGAATATTGCTGTTTCTAGCACCCTTCTTGCCAATGCCTCCTATTAATAAAGTGTGGATTATTACATCCCAGTGGGATTTTGCATCACTATCTGTTCAAAAGATATGGGATATACAAACTTTTCATGGTTCCATTTCCTTCACAATTCACTCAAATCAGCCCAAAGGATTCCAAAAGTTCATTCAGATGGTTAGACCTTCCTGGTTTAAAGGAGATGGTTTTATTCAGGACTTCTGGGAACAGGCATTCAGCTGTTCATTAAACGTGTCTAAATGGGAAGAGAAGGAGAAAATCTGCACTGGAGAGGAGAATCTACAGAACCTTTCTGGAATTCTGTTTGAAATGAAGATGACTGGCCACAGCTACAATGTCTACAATGCTGTCTATGCTGTGGCACATACTTTTCATGCTATATATAAATCCCATTCCAAACACAGAAGATTGGAAGAAAGAGACAGGCTTTTTTTTCAGAATGTGCAACCATGGCAGGTAATTGCAAATAAACACTTATAAAAAGAAGTCCAGCTTTTCCTGCAAAATGAAAGAGGATTTTAAATCTACATAAAACAACTCCACCCAAACTGTTCAACATTATCTTTTCTTTTTTGTAAATTCAAATAGAAACATTAAGTTGCCACATGTATTAACTCCAAAATGAATAGGGCTTCCTTTGTGAAGCTCCTTGAAATGATTTCAATGGTGTGTGTTTTTGTAGCTTTGTTTATAATCCCTTTTTATCTAGGTCCATCAACTTCTAAAGAGGGTTTCCTTTAACAACAGTGCTGGAGACATTGTGCACTTTGATGACAATGGAGAACTAGTTTCAGGTTTTGATATTACAAACTGGCTAATGTTCCCTAATGGCTCAGTGGTTAGAGTAAAAATTGGAAGACTGGAACCTCAGGCTCCCCAGGGCACAAAGTTATCTATTCATGATGAACAAATTGTGTGGCATCATAGCTTTAATCAGGTGAGACTGCAGATGCAGATGTAGTTCCTTCCCTTCTTTCCAAAAATCCATATTATTATAAAAGGTAAAGGTACCCCTGCCCGTACGGGCTAGTCTTGCCAGACTCTAGGGTTGTGCGCCCATCTCACTCTATAGGCCGTGGGCCAGCGCTGTCCGGAGACACTTCCGGGTCACGTGGCCAGCGTGACATCGCTGCTCTGGCGAGCCAGAGCCGCACACGGAAACGCCGTTTACCTTCCCGCTTGTAAGCGGTCCCTATTTATCTACTTGCACCCGGGGGTGCTTTCGAACTGCTAGGTTGGCAGGCGCTGGGACCGAACGACGGGAGCGCACCCCGCCGCGGGGATTCGAACCGCCGACCTTTCGATCGGCAAGCCCTAGGCGCTGAGGCTTTTACCCACAGCGCCACCCGCGTCCCTTCATATTATTATATTATATTATTAATATAATATAATATAATATAATATAATATGTCATAATAAATTTGACTAAAGGGGGGAATATATGGAAATCATTCTTTTTTTGAAAGAGTGAGGTCAGTTTCTGTCAAACAAATATGCAAAAACAACAGTGTGTTAGTACAAACTGTGACTATACATCTAACTCATTTTACCTTGAGCCTGATGGTTAGGGCTCAGGCAGGATAAGAAAGGATTTTTTAAAAATGTACTGAACTGGTGAGGGAAATGTTGAGGGACTGCAACTGAGCTGAGAAAGGGATTAGAGGACAACATTAAAGACACAACATAGGCTGACATATGGGACAAAAGATCTATGAGATCAACCTAAGGGTGCTGAGAATTGTAAATCTGTGAGGGTCAAATCAAACTCCCCAGGATTCTTTAGGAGAAATTGTGTGATTAAATGTATTTTAAATGTATGTTAAATGATGACTACATGCAGCGGTAGAATCTCAGGTCTGAGATAAGCCCTTTCATCCCAACCCATTAATCATGGCCACATTGATCCTCCATCACCCTCTACATCTACATCCTGGGAGCTGACTACAGGTATACATCAGGATTCTGAATCATGTGGGGATCCAATACAGGTAGAGAAGGCTCCCCAAGGCAGACATTCAGCCCTCAGCATGTGGAGAGTAGTAAGAAGTGAACAGTACAGAATGATTGAGTAGGAGTTTCCTAAAAAGCTATTCTAATCACATGGAGGTGAATTACTGAAGAGGCTAATGTTTTATTGCCAATTTATTATTCTTTGCAGGTGCTGCCCTTGTCTGTGTGCAATGAAAATTGCAATCCTGGCTACAGCAGGAAAAAGAAAGAAGGAGAGAAATTTTGCTGCTATGATTGTGCTCTATGTCCAGAAGGGATGATCTCTCATGAGAAGGGTAGGAGACATAATGTAAAGATATGAATAAATGTTCATAATTCTTTGAGAATGATTATTCCTTGAATATATATGAAATGGTTTCACAACGGCATTTCAAAACAGAATCCACCTAAAAAAATTAAAGTGTGTATAACAGCATCAGATAGTCAATAGGACAAATCTGCTCCAAATCATAATGATGATGAGGATGCTGGTAAATGTGAATAGTATTCCTATATCAGTGTAATATAGGTTATTATAATAACCACATTACAAATGAAGATTAAGACAGAATATCTGCTCACCTGGGGCCCTGGGTGGGCAGCCTTTGCTGCATTACACGACCATAGTGGGTCCAGGGGCCCCACCATCTTTGGCACAGCCTTAACCAAACCTACTTTTTCCTGTCATCAATAAAAGTTGTGGGCTAATTCAACCCAATACCAGCCTCAGTGTCCATTCTTGTGGCTCTTCCTGCACCTGCCGTGGCTAGCATTCACCTGTGACAGTAAAGACAAGAGCACAGCACAAACCACAAAAACTTTTGGAAGCACAAAAGCTAATAATAATGAATTATTGCTTGTTCTATGTGATTATGCCAGTCGTCTCTCTTAGAGTTGGTCAAATAACTGCAAATAAAAGGAAACAAAAGGAAACACTTTCACATTATAGGATGACATTACTTCAGATTGGAGCCTATGAAGCCAGGAAGCTCACTGGCAGTGGTTCTCCAGGATGTCAAGCAGGAGTCTTTTCCAGGGTCCCTTTGCATACAAAGTAGATACTCTACCATTGAGTTACAGCTCTCTCTCCCCACCCCCCATTTTACAAGTTTGAACAAACAAAATCTAAGCAGCTTTTCCCTTTCCCCCCCTCAGACATGGATGCCTGTGTCAAATGTCCAAAAGAACAGTATCCCAACAAGGACCAAAGTCAATGCATTCCAAAGGATGTGAACTACCTCTCTTACAAAGAAGATTTAGGGATCATCTTAACTATATTGGCGATTTCTTTCTGTTTGATCACAAGCTTAGTACTTGGAATTTTTATGAAGTACAAGGACACTCCCATAGTCAAAGCCAACAACCGAATGCTCACCTACATCCTCCTCATCTCCCTTCTCCTTTGCTTCCTCTGTGCTTTGCTCTTCATTGGACAGCCTGGAAAGGTGACTTGTCTTCTCCGACAAACAGCTTTTGGCATTGTCTTCTCTGTGGCCCTTTCCTCTGTGTTGGCAAAGACTATCACTGTGGTTCTGGCATTCATGGCAACCAAACCAGGATCTAGAATGAGGAAATGGGTGGGGAAAGGACTATCAAATTCTATTGTCCTTACCTGCTCCCTCATTCAATCAGGAATTTGTATTCTTTGGTTAAGTACATCTCCCCCATTTCCTGATAAAGACATGCATTCAATGAAGGGTGAAATCTTACTAGAATGTAATGAGGGTTCTGTTTCCATGCTTTACTGTGTTCTGGGCTATATGGGTTTCCTAGCCACTGTCAGCTTCATTGTAGCTTTTCTTGCCAGGAAGTTGCCAGACAGTTTCAATGAAGCCAAATTTATCACTTTTAGCATGCTGGTGTTTTGCAGTGTGTGGTTATCCTTTGTTCCAACCTACCTGAGCACCAAAGGAAAATACATGGTGGCCGTGGAGATCTTCTCCATCTTGTCTTCCGGTGCTGGATTACTGGGTTGCATCTTTTCCCCAAAATGCTACATTATTCTGCTGAGGCCTCAGCTGAACAACAAGGAGCAACTAATAATAAGAAAAAGTGATAGAATATAAGTCTGTGTCTTTATTCTTCATATATATATATATATGAATGCCGATGCTAGGGATCTCAGGGATCTTAATTAAGCATCCCTTCTCAAATTCATATGAATAGAGTTGTGCTGACATTTGGTTCCTCTATTGTACCTCCTACCATGGTTTTGCTCTAACACAGTATACAGTGCTCCACTGACTCCTTCCTACCCCCATACCTAAGGAGAAATTGAGTCACAATGTGTGGCATTTACCAACTATGTATGAAAAAATGCTTTGCCTGTTCTCATTTTCCTGTGGCTATTTGTAAAGTGATGCTTATGTAAGCATTCTGGCAGTGGTTTATATTTTTACCAGATATCATGTTCTTAAGAAGCTTCTGTCCATTTCCACATGCATACAGTGAATTGGAAAAGTACTGCAATATAATTTAAGGTAATGAGGATTCCAGTGCTACATCTTTTCTTTTGTTGTCTTTTGTCTTGTCTTGGGCTATATGAATTCCCTGGCTTCATCACAGTTTCCCTTCCTAGGAAATTCAATGCAATCAGATTGATCATTTTTCAGCTTATTGATCTTTTGTTGTGCTTGAATTTATATTCTTCCAATACTAGGTACACTCATTCTGTTTTGCATATTACACAAATTCTAACAACAATGAATAGGCATGTCATTAATTGCAAACCTAGCTCCTTGGTCACTTATTGAAAAAAATAGAAAACAAAGAGTATTATATTGATTTGAGTTCTTTGGAAGCTGGAAGTTGTATATAAATATAAAGTAATTACCATTATAAATTAATTCTTATTATAGTGAGGGAAGTTTCCCATTATTAAATATTGATGATGAATCTGGAAACAACTTGCCTTCTACTCGGGGTCAAACTGCTAAAATATTAATTAATTGTGCTGTGTTTCAACTTTCCGCCTTCTCTCTTGAAATTAACATAAATGAATCTGCTGCTTTATGAGAATCTAGCAGCCTTACTAGACCATAAGCTTAACATGAGTCAACATTATAAAATTCAAAAGCAGAAATATAGTGTCCAGTGTAATAACATCACTCTATCACTTGGTCAGGCCCCATCTGCAGTACTGAGTGCAGTACCAGAGAGCCAGTGTGGTGTAATGGTTAAGAGCGGTAGTCTCGTAATCTGGGGAACTGGGTTCGCGTCTCCGCTCCTCCACATGCAGCTGCTGGGTGACCTTGGGCCAGTCACACTTCTTTGAAGTCTCTCAGCCCCACTCACCTCACAGAGTGTTTGTTGTGGGGGAGGAAGGGAAAGGAGAATGTTAGCCGCTTTGAGACTCCTGAAGGGGAGTGAAAGGCGGGATATCAAATGCAAACTGCTCTTCTTCTTCTTCTTCTTCTTCTTCTTGGCACCACATTTTAAGAAGGAGATTGTCAAGTTGAAAGGTGTGCAGATGACAGGAACCAAGATGATAAAGTGTTGACCTCATGAATAGAAAGGGAAAGGAATATTGACATATATATACATAAATAAATTAGGATTGAGATAATAAGGAAATACAGAAAGATATAATGAGAATGAAATGAAGTGTTGTGAGGTCGGTGGAAGTCTTTGTTTTATCAACTTTGGTTATGTAACGATGAATACGGTGTTGGGAATATGTCTGTCTTTCTTCTTTTTTCTTTGTCCTTTTTCTTTGTTTCATTTCTTTTTTCTTTTTTCTTTTCTTTCATTCTTTGTTTTGTGTTTTAATCTGTAAGATTTGGAATTTTTTCTCTTTTGTTTTGGCGTATTGTTATATTTTGTTGTTAATATTAATAAATATTACTTTTAATTTTTTTTAAAAAAAAAAGGTGATAAAGTGTCTGAAAACCAAACCTTATGAGGAACAATGGGAGTTTGGTATGCTTAGCCTAGAGAACAGAAGACTGAGAGGGGGATATGATAGCCACCTTTAAATATCTGAAAGGCTGTCTCGTGGACGATGGAGCAAACTTGTTTCCTGCTGCTCCAGAGGGCAGGACCTAAACCATTGGGTTCGAATTACAAGAAAGGAGAATTCAACCCAACATTAGAAAGAACCTTCTGACAGTAAGAGCTGTCTGATACTTCGTTCCACTATTGTGGAAAATGGTGGTCGTTCCTTCATTGGAGCTTCTTAAACAGAAATTGGATAGCCATCTGTGAGGGTTAATTTAACTGTGATTCCTGCCTTGAAGGGGCTTGGACCCTTGGAGTCTCTTCTACAATTCTATGATTCAACAATAATTTGGTTCTACCTGACTTTCCTCATTCAGAGAAACCCAATTACCCATGACTGCAAGCTTTTAATCATACCAATATCATACCAATATAATTTTATATTAGTCCCACTTCCTTCATCCAGGAAACATAACGATTGGTGCTAAAATTCACCAAGAGATTCCTGCATTACAGGCGGTTGGACTAGATGACCCTTGTGATCCCTTCCAACTCTACAGTTCTACAATTTCATTATTTTGTGCACCACTAACTGTTTATCATATGTCAAAAGAGAAAATAATAGTTGTAATATTCAGGGAAGTGGGACTCCTAGCAGTTTCAGAATGCACAAGGCAACTTGAAATGACAGCAGCACACAAGGGAAATGATAATAATCCCTATCATTGTCGGAATTACTGGTATCTATCCTCTGACACAGCAGACATCCAGAGCCCAACCTGCATATGAAGAGAGGCATAAGAAACCATCAACAAAGTTGTATATTAGACATAGGCAGGACTCTGTCATTCTTTTGGGTTCATTCATTTCCTCTTTACATGCTAGGATATTTTTTCAGCAGCTGATTAAGCCCTAGTTTTTTAAAAATAACAATAATAATAATAAATAAATTCCATGAGTATCCTTGTCCAATTAACTTTCCACTTCAAAGTTACTTACTGTGAAAAATCAAACCTCTTTGGCTAGATACAAAAACATATACATATGTAGGAATCCACACAGATGTTGTTGGATCATAATATAGCTTATTTATTTAATATCTTATGCTGCTTTGGATAAGTGGATTGGAAAACCTTAAGAGTATACTCCCCCCCCCCTTTGCAGACCAAAGCAAACTTATTGGTATACGTACCTGAACAGATGAGGGTGTAGAAATAAACATACTTCTCAGTGAGTCTTGGAGGATAAACTGAGTAGATAAAGAGAATACCTTGATCAGGGACACTGATGGACAAGGCACCGTTATTAGTTCTGAGTACAGGGTACTGCTTCACAGATTCTCAAAGAAGTCCTTCTGCTTAATCAGCATAGAGACAGAATCATCCATCATTCAAGGGAAGCTGTAGCAAAACAGATAACAGCTACATATAATGTTGTAAATGGAAACATGAGAACCTATGTTTGGAAGGAATGTTATGCTCACAAGCTCATGATGGTGATGCTTTTGCTACTTGTACTGCTGTGCCCTACTGTATGCCAGGCACATTCTATTAATTGCAGCATCTATGATGATCCCTTACCTATACCTCATGCATTTTACCAGCCAGGTGAACTTGTTATCGGTGAAATTGTTTCCCAGGTCTTCTTCCTCTACAATAACCTCTCTTTCACAGAACCGCCAACACAGATCTTGATTGATGAACCAGTGTAAGGCAGCATTTATTTTCTCTTGCTTCTGTAATATATTAAGAGAATAATAGTAGAGAACACATAATTGTGCAATCCTGCATTTTTGTCATGCTTTCTATATTAAATTGTTGGGCAGAAACCACTAGTATGTTTTTCTCCACCATCACCATTGAAATGAATGGCTACTGTGTATTTTTTTCTTTTTTTAATATATCTTTATTGATTTTGAGAATATAGCTATAAAAAGTCAATAAGATGTACAAATCAATCAAAAGACTATTAAAAACCCCATAACCGTAACTGTGACTGTGTGAAGTACAGAGGTTGCTTACATCATATTCATCTTCAATATTAAGGGATTGATGAGTAAGAGCTTCCATCAAAGTGAAATCAGATCAGAAGCCAGCAACAGTGACAGCAAAATCAGTTGAATGCCTACAATCCATTTATATAGTGTTTGTGCAGGATAACAACACTGTATATTATATCTATTATTTAGTTACTGCCCCATTTCTCTTCTTTCCATATTTTGTTCTCTCTTGTCCTTAATCTCAAATGATGCACTCTCTTATGCCCTTCCAATCATCTGTTTTTAAAATCAATTATTTCAGATTATTATATTTTAGAAATAACAGCATGTTTCACTCTTCCTGTTGTTTTAACACTTTCATTTGAAAAGTAAAGCAGGCTGGACAGGGAACCACAACCTGACTCTAAAAAGGGTATGCATGTAATACCTGCATTTGTAAACATAGTTAATATTTATCATACTTTTCAATTCAAAAACACACAGGCACAACATTATAGGGGTCTACATTTTTTAAAAAAGTTATTTGTGAATTGACTGTCAAGTACCGTACACTAGTTAGTCTGAGATATATAGTGAATTGCTTTCAAATATACATTAGTTTTTTGAAGCTCCCTTTTGTACTTTTCACTTGTAATATCTTCTCTGTTTTCATCTGTTTATGACAGATGCTCTTCTATTGTATTTATGCATCACAGATAGTAAAAATGCACTGTTGTCAGTTGCTTCAACAAGGTCCATATTATTGTATATTTCTTGCTTCGCTGTATTGCATAAGATAACAAGAATATCACTGGAAATAAGAGTTTCACTCTCCTCTAGGTCCTGTCCTCTAAACTAGAACTAAAATCAGCTCTAAAACATTCTTTAAAGAAACTGTTAAAAACATTCTAAAAACAATTAAAATCATTCTCAGCCAGTGACCTCAGTATCTCCAGGATCAGTTTTTGTAAAGTCATGAAATGCTTGGGTAAACAGGAATGTTTTTCAATTGTTGATGGAAGTCAGTGATGGGGGAGAGACAGATAGACCTCACTAGGAAGGCATTCCACAGATGGGCAACCGCCATGGAAAACCCTTAGTCAGGATCACTTCCAAATGCGTTGCACTCAGTTTCATCACCACCAAAGCCAC